GGAATCATTCTTTGGGTATTTTCTTGCTCCTCAAGCCAAAATATTTTTTCTTGAACCTCTTAGTCCATATGATAGGGATTTCACTGTATTCCTAATTCTAATGTTAGTTTTAATATTCTCGTTATTCTTTTTTACTCTCAGTGTTGAGAGACGATGCCATTCCCCCATACTAAGTCTTTGTCTCCCACCTGACACAGTGTGTGCTGCATCCCACTGCTTAGGAGCAACTGCCTGCTGCCTATCTCCTGGAAATGACCAGCACCTGGAGTCCTCAATGCAATGGTAGATTCATGTCTCTTTTGTTTTTAATAGACTCCTTGTTGGATACTGGATTACATCAAGGAGACAATGAGTGATTTCTTTTTTTAATTTTTTTAGAGATTTATTTATTTATTTGAAAGTCAGAGTTACACAGAGAGAGAAGGAAAGGTAGAGAGAGAGCGAGTGAGTGAGCAAGAGTGGTCTTCCATCTGCTGGTTACTCCCCAGATAGCCACAATGGCCTGAGCTGTGCAGATAAGCAGCCAGGAGCCAGGAGCCTCTTCTGGGTCCGCCCACACGGGTGCAGAGCCCAAACACTTAGGCCATCTTCTACTACTTTTCCAGGCCATAGCAGAGAGCTGGATTGGAAGTGGGGCAGCCAGAACTCAAACCAACACCTATATGGGATGCCAGCACTGCAGGCAGTGGCTTTACCTGCTACACCATCGTGCGGGCCCCACACCCATGTCTTTTGTTACCTACTGTAACAGCCAGTTCTGTGTGATGGTGCTTAAATGTCTGGCTTAAATGTCTAGGAGGAAATTAAACTATGTTCAGAGATTTGGCTATAAAACTTTGATCAGGAAGGATCGAAGATTTTGTGCACTACAGGGCGGTTCCAATCTCCGGGTTTTATCAAACTGTATTGTAGGTTTAGCCCCAGGACAAAAGGGCCAGGCCAGGGGTCCAGGTATGCAGCTCACTGAGGCACCTCTCAAGGGGAGTTAGAGCCCCAGCAAGCTGCAGTTGGGGCTAGGAATCTGTAATCAAGAGAAATAGAGCACACAGAAGTGTGGAGCTGCAAGTCACTGTGCAGAAGTCCCAGAGACTGCCTTTCACTTTGTTTTTACAAACTGGACAGGCTGTACTGTTTATGGAAGACTGTGTAATTTAATTGGCTGGCAAAGAAACAGGAAATAAATGTAAATAACATAATAGACCCAGTATTTGTATTGTAGTAAGAAAGAAAACAGATTTACCATTGATGTTCTGAATTTCTCTGACTCAGCCACATCTCCAGATTTTGGATTTTTTTCACCCTCATTTCTATCCTACTTCTTTGGGTGGGTCTCGGGCCATCCTCTGATTCCCTCCACAACATTGCATCTGCCATGCAGGCTGGATTGGAGTATCATGCACATACTGGAGAACAGACTTTGGAAGTTACAATGCAATTAGTCAATAAACAGATCCAGCAAAGGAGAGCCCCTACATTTTCAAGGTCTGTCATCCTAAGTGGTACACATCCACCACTGCTCCTGTTAGAATAATACACGGGATTGGAGCCTGGTAGTAAGACACAGTGCATCTCTGTAGGGTTCCATACTTTATGCCACATCCACCTTCAGTGGGTACAATCCAGGAAACAGGTGATCTCTAAGTTCTTTGCACTGCCTCTGTTGGAAACTGTTCTAATTGGACTCTATACAGTGTCCTGTGTTTGATTTCAAATGAGCATCTTCTAGAGCTCCTGCCCTTGTCTCTGCTAAAATATCTCCTGCCTGTCCTGAAGCCTCAGCTCAGGCTCACCACCTGGAGGCTTTCAATAGCCATTGCTATGGTGTAGCGCTGTGCATCATGCCTGTTGAGTCAGCAGAGCCTAAAATGTCGACTTTGAAGAAGAAAATAATACCTTGGTTGATTGGCCAATTCCTCCTCCAAGTAACCTATGTCATATTTTCCTAGGAACAAAAAAGATCTCCATTAAATCCAGTAATTTTTTTTCCTGCTCACTGTTGTATAATCCAATTAATGGTTGCATGCAAAGATTTTGACACTGTACCCTAGCACTTTATTATTTATAGTGCTTAGAAAGTCAACAGAAATAGTGTATACGATCAACATGCCCTATAGATTGGTTCTTGAATGAAGAAATTATCTTCTAGGTCTTTAACTGTCCAATATCTAGGTTAAAGCATGGATCAGAACAGATGCCAAGTGGCTTTTCCCTCAATTTTTATTTCAACGTCAATTTCAGTAAATTGTAAAATGACGAGGTTCTCTAAGTTTTCTCCAAGCTCTAAGTATTTTATTCAGGAATTACTGAGGGCTCCATGCTGTGGGGAGATGTGCATTATAGAGAAAAGAAAGGCCTGGTTTCCAGCTGAAGATTAAGAAAAGTAAACCCCAGCAGGTCCGATCACTTAGTCTGGGTTCCTCGCTAAAGGGGATACACTGACTTCTTGGAATGATGAAATAATCCTACATACACCCCAAACCCTACTGATCCCGCAACTAAGCGTCTAGAAGGGCATTGCAAACGCGAGAGGAAGTACGACTTCGGGACAGAATGAGCTAAAATCCAGAAGAGCCTTGCAGAGGAGGCATATTCAGACCTCCCATTTGCGAGGAGGTACTGCCCTGTGAAGCTTTGGTGCTGCGGTGTGCGGGAACCACCTGGTTACAAAAGGCAGCGCTCCCTGTGTAAGACAACCCGCCCCTCCGCCCGCCACAGCCCGCGGCGCCCCGACAGGTGACCCGTGAGTGAGCCGCGCATCATTCATTTCCCTGCACAAATGCCACACAGCCAGCTTGGCTTCCGGAGTGCTACTTAATTCCATCTAGTCAAAGGTGCATTTCACAAATTAGGGGTCCTTCACACTGTCTAAAATTCGGTTTCCTCGTATTTTGTAAACGCAGAGAGTAAGCACTTGATCACACCGGGTCAAAATAACCCGCATAATTCACTTAAGAGAGGAGAAGTGGGGACTGTGCACCCCCCAGTCTGAGGGGCACCTCAGTGTGTTGTGCCTCCCAGGCTGCTACCGGAGCTGAAAAATGAATACCGTGCTCCAGATTTCCCACAACCCCTACTTTGATAACGGATGCATAAATGCAGGGTTTTTAACCATTACAGTCCCCTCCCTGCCTGTCTGCTGTTTGAATAGGGAGAAACATGTTCTATGGAATGAACTGCGTAAACACTTATTATTTAGGTTCCAGAAATAAATCACTACCCATCCCGTGTCCCCAGATTTTCCCTGTTAATTTGTGGTGAAGTTATTTCTACACTTGTTCCCAGGTACATTAAAGATGTTCTGGATTCGGTAACCCTTTTGTAAAACTATGATTATTTTTAAACATTAGAACTATTCTGCCCAAGATCTTTCATAAAAAATGAAAGACTTTTTTCCCCAAGCAGTTCACTTTAAGAGGAAATAGGCACCTAAAATAAAATAATCCCTGAACTCGAATTTTCTCCCAACAGAGCCTTCATCTGCGTATTGACGGTGTGAGAGTGGGAGAGAGAATGAGAATATAATAGAACGGAAAGGGGAAGGAAGGAAAGGGAAAAGGAAAAGGGAAAAGAAAAGAAAAAAAGAAAAAGAAAAAAAAGAAAAATGGGGTGGAAGTGTTCCCGCTTCCAAGCGCTGTGGCCTGTTCTGCCCTCTAGCCACGCAGGACGGATGCTGGAAGACCTTGGGCGGCGGGGCGGGGAGAGCGTGTCACGTACTTAGCCAGGGTCTCAGGCGGTGGCTGGCCGACAGCGGCGGCAGGAATAAGTGAGGGGCTCCGGCGGCCGAGGAGCTCCGGGAGCCGCGGAGGCCTCGGCGGGGCAGGCTGGAGGCTGGGAGCCGCTCGGCGACACAGGAAGGCAGGGCGAAGGAGGAGCAGCGCAGGCAGAGGAGCCGCGCACCCGGCTTTGACGTCGCCCGGCTGCGGAGAGCAACTCGCGCTCTCAGCACGTAGCGCACAACGTGACCACACACAGCCTTCCTCCCCGGCAGCCCGGCAGCCCGGCAGCCCCGCAGCCTGTCCGCCAGCGCCCCGCGCCCGCCTTCGCCTCCTCTTCCTCCTCCTGCTCCGGCGTCCGCCTCCGCGGCGCGCACCCCCTGGCCAACCCAGGGATTCCGGCCGGCGTCGAACCCCGGGCGCTCCGCCGCCCAGCCCGGGCGCCTGTGCCGCAGCGGCGGCCACGCAGCCCGGTGCCCTCCGCAGGCGGCCGCTCCCGCCTTCGCCTCTGGATGCCACCGCTACGTTAGCTCCGGCGGGGAAGCCCTTGCACGGCTCCGCTCGCGCCGGTCCCGACCGCCCCCACCCCCTGCACCTGGCGGGGGTGGCGCGGAAGCGAAGAGGACGCGCGCAGTGCCGGTGGGCACGCGTCGACGTGTGTGCCGCTCGCCTCCCAGCTCGCCGTTCTGCCTCTCTCGCAAGTGGCGGCGCCTGGACTCTGCTCTCGGCTCCCCGGGATCGGCGCGGCCCGCCAGAACCCGCCTCTCCGCTGGCTGGGCGCTGAAGGCTGTTCGGAGAGCAGAAGCGGCCGCGGCGGCTGGTGCCCCGGCGAGCTCCAGACGCGCACTTCGCTCCCTGTTGGACCCCTCTCCTCCTCCTGCCCCCCTCCCGTCCCTGCTCTCCCCCCCCTCCAAACCTCCTCCTCAGCCCCACTCCTCCTCTTCCTCCGCGCCCCGCTCGGCGATGCGAGTCTGTATCGTGTAACAGGATTGGCGTTGCAATGGCAACTGATGGAATGGGGGAAGGCAAGACAGCAGGGCTGAGGGCTCCGGACTGCGGGCAGGCGGGCCGCTGCCGCCGCTTGACGCTCCTCCGGGGACCTTCGCGAGTTACTTTGTAAAGGCGAACCCAGGCGACAGAGCCCTGCTCGGGGGCCCCCCCGGGTCAGAGGCCACTTCCTGCAGCTCCGCCGTCCAAGCCGGCTCAGCTCCGCGCGGCCCCCGGCCCCCTGCCCGCGCAGCCGCCAGCCCGGCGCGCCGCCGCCGCCGCCGCCGCCGCCGCTGCTGAGACTCGAGCCCGCGGCTCGCAGAGGAGCGCTTCGCCTCGCGGCTCCCCTTCGCTGTCACCACCGCCGGCGCCTGCGGTTTCCTTCCCCCGCCCCCGGCGCCCGGTGTGAGTGCGGCGTGCGTGCGAGTGTGTGTCAGGGTATTCTCTGTGTGTGTGTGTGCGTGTGTGTGTGTGTGTGTGCGCGTGTGCGGGCTCCTGGGCTCCGCTCGCGGCCGCCGCCGGGAAAGGACGGACGGACGGACGGACGGACGGCGCTGCCTCTTGGGTCAGCGGTGCCCGGGCACCTCGGCTCGGGCCGGCCGCCGGCCTCCGGAAGGTCCCGCCGCGTCCCCCACCCGGACCTGGGCTGGATATGTTCATGTTCACGTGAAGATGGATTTGGTGTACGGTCTCGTGTGGCTGCTGACAGTCCTCCTGGAGGGGATCTCCGGCCAGGGAGTGTACGGTGAGTGCCATCGCGACGTTATCGTGACCTTGTGGTTCTTAAGGCGAGAGAGGCTCGGGAGCGACAACGCAGGAGTCGCGCCGCCCGGGGCCCCTCCCGGCGCGGGGTTTGATTTACACTTCCTCGCGCTGTGGGCAAGCGAGAGAGAGAGAGAGAGAGAGAGAGGCGGCGAGCGCGCTGCGGATTGGGCTGCCAGCCGCTCCCCCGGCGCCTCCGCTCGGGGCTCGGAGTTGGGTCGGGCCAGCGGCGGCCCCGCACTCGCGCGGACGAGTGGCTCGCACTGGATGGATCCCCGCGGGGGCTGGAGCTTGGGCTGCCTTTGATCTAACCGCGGTCTGGCTCCCTGCGCGCCGCGAGGGGTCGGCCGCGCTCCCTCGGGGAGGGAAGCTCCGAATGTGACCCCCGCGAGTCTCCCCCGCAAGCCTTCTCCGTCCCCCGCGCCGCGCCGCCTCCCGCCAGCTCTCCACCTCTGCCTGGTGCCGCGGATGCCTGCATGGCTGGGTTTTCCGGCTCAGGAAGTGGGGTGACGGTGGAGTCGCGCTCTGCACCAGCCGTTGCCATGAGCACTGACTCGGGGAAGGGAACATAGCAGGCAGGGCTCTCCAGTGCCAGACACAATTAAGGGACACGTTGGTGTGAATGGATGAACGAACGCATGAATGAACGGGCGGCCGAGTCCGCAGGACGCCAGCTCGCTGCGGCCGGGATACGGTCTTCACAGCCTGTCTCTGGAGGACTCAGAGCTTGCAAGGGTTACGAACTGGAGAAGGGCGAGTTTGCTAATTCGAGGGCGTTGAAGTCCTCAAAAGCAAATCCAGGTTCCTTCGCCTGTCAGCAGTTGGCACCCTTGGCTTTGAGACACACGCACACGCGAGCGCGCACACACACACACACACACACACTCAGGCCCCAGTTAACACTGGGCTGAAATGCAAGTGTTCTCCTGGGACAAGGCACGGGGCTCCTAAAGGGAAATAACTTTTGCGTTCTCCCGACCCAGGGTGGGAGGTGAAGAGGCAGACCGCAGGTCAGCCCCCTCCCCCCGCCAATCTCTGGAAAATGTGCGCGGGGCATCCGGTTCGCGTCGCCCTTGGGGATTTGCACCCCAGTGCTGCAAGGCTAGGTCCGTGGCGGCCCGCCCCGGGCCACCAGGCGTGAATGAGCATTTGTGGAAGTGGTCTAGCTTTCCCTGCAGACCCTGCAGCGGACTGCCGAGTGGACGGACGTGGGTGCCAGTGCATGAGTATTTGGGGATGAAATCGGAAGCTGAGAGCCAGCCTTGACTGCCTGCCCTGCACGTCCAGTCCGGAGCCGAGCAGGGCTGTGGGGCGGCGAGGGGGTTTGTCCCCAGCCCTCAGAGCTCTGATGCCGCCTGCTCTGCCACTCCCCTTTCCTGTCTTCCTGGTTCCCTGCTGGACTGGGGCCAGGAAACCTTCACTTCATCCTGCCTCTAAAGCATCTCAATTTTCTAAGGAAAGACAACTTGCTCAGTGGTGGGAGTGGCCGCAGCTGGGTAAAGGGGGCGCTCGGGCGCGAGGGAGGCTCTGAGCCTCCTGGCCGAGCTGTTAGACAGCGGGAGGTGGGATCGAAGACAGCAGGAATTCCCTGCGTGCTCACTGGACTCAGCTGGACCTTGTTCTGTCCTGAGCAGCTGGGATCCTGGGGCTGGGGAAATGCTGCAGGCGGAGCTTTCTCGAGGGACCTGTCCCGAGGCCGGGAGACTTTGCCTCTCAGGCCATGTCCAAGTCTGTTCCTCTCTCATTGGTTCGGATCATCCCAGTCAAAAGGACACTTTTGTTCTTCTTTTACAAATTGTTTATGTGAGACAGTGTTGGGGGGGCGGAAGTCATGAGAAGTAAGAAATTTGGGGAGGGGGGCGTGGTGGACCCTGGGACCCCAGGGATTCCAAAGAATGGTTCCGTTCTATTCTCTGGTCACTTTTGGTCAGTCGCCTGATTTGTCTTGCCAAGTCTCCTGTGGAGCCAGGCGGTGGGAGAGCATAAGACTCACAGTGGAGACAAGTGGAAAAAGGATTGCATTAAAATAATCCCGTGCCCCGTGTCCCTTAGCAATAAAGGAGAAGGCAGTTCTCCCGCCTCGCTGGTCATTGTGATGAAGATGGTGATCCTGTTTTTGTTTGTCTTCATGTTGATGCGGTTGTCACTTAGCTAGGAACAGACTGGACTTCAGTAAGAGATATTAATCAGCATCCCGGGCCATTATATATGCCACATTTATTATGTGGGCACAAGGAATATCTACATACTACTCTTCAGATATGGCTCCCATGTCATAGAATTTAGTGCTCAACCTGTGGTGGCCTGTACTCAAGTTGCAGCAGCTTCAACTTGTAACGTGTTAGAAGTGTGGACTCCTGGCCCCTCCCAGACCTTTCTAAATGGAGTACTCAGCGTTTGGGACCCTGCAGCCCAGCCCTTGCTCTTCATCACAAGTGACCATTGCTGTGCGACCCGAGGTCTGTGAGCTGGACTCACACTTTCATTGCTTTGGCTTCATCAGTCATGACCTTTGCTACCACGAAGTAGTTTTATTTTCAGTTGTTGGAGAGGTTATGGGGAAGAAAACAGTTTATTTTTGTTTAGTGGAAAGAACATTGATCAACATAAGAAACATAAATACAGTATTTGTAAGGTTCTTAAAGTGTGCTTTGGAAATTTTACATGAAGATCTTTGAAAAAGATTAGTTGCAAAGCAGATCAGTTTCAAGTAGAAATTTCACATAGATAGGATCTTTGCCAGCATAAAACCTATATCCATATATCTGCCTCCACACTGCCTTTGCACATGTGTGCCAGCTATGAGATTATTCACACTATATACTATACATGAAATATTATTTCTTAATACTACTTTCTTGTGGCTAGATTCATTGACAATTTCCTACATAACAGGCAAAAATAATTTCATTGTAGCCTAAAATTACCTACATGATTTAGACCTATATTGTTTTAATCTTTCTTCCCTGGAATAACCAAGCGATTCCTTTCTCCTACCACTTCCTGTCTGAAAAACTTTGAGGATGAAATTCAGATTTTTAATTTTGAGTAACTTAAGAGTACTTGTTGTAATGCACAATCTTTGTTTTCTTGAGTACTGTCATCTTCTTAGGATACCTGGTTTGGCAAGTATGTACAGACTTTGGTGTAAAAGTTTCTGCTATGATTCTAGGCACCTGCCTGTCATTCATTGGTCGTTGAGTGTTACTAAGCAAACGGTGTACTGGTTAAGGTTTATATATGATGTGGCCATTAGGGAAGGGAGACTATGCTAGAATGCCTGACTACACACAACTAATTCTGGTGTCATTAAATTTTTTAAAAATGGGGATATCCTATATATTCCTTATAAAAATCATGTCAGATTTGACATTACAGTAACAAATTGTTTGAAAATACTTCTGAAAGATTGCAAAATTCTCTTTGTAATAGATTAGTATAAAAATCATGTGGTCTGGGGCTGACGCTGTGGCATAGCAGGTAAGGCCATCGCCTGCAGTGTCAGCATCCACATGGGTATGCGTTCGAATCCCAGCTGCTTCATTTTCTTTTATTTTTTTTTTAACAGCCAGAGTGTACAGTGAGAGAGAGAGACAGAGAGAAAGGTCTTCCTTTTGCCGTCGGTTCACCCTCCAATGGCCGCCGCGGCCAGTGCACCGCGCTGATCTGAAGCCAGGAGCCAGGTGCTTCTCCTGGTCTCCCATGGGGTGCAGGGCCCAAGCACTTGGGCCATCCTCCACTGCACTCCTGGGCCATAGCAGAGAGCTGGCCTGGAAGAGGGGCAACAGGGACAGAATCCGGAGCCCCGACCGGGACTAGAACCCGGTGTGCCGGTGCCGCTAGGTGGAGGATTAGCCTATTGAGCCACGGCACCGGCCCGCTCCATTTTCAATCCAGCTCCCTGCAATGGCCTGGGAAAGCAGCAGAAAACGGTCCAATTCCTTGGGCCCCTGTACCCGTGTGGGAGACTGGGAGGAAGCTCCTGGCTCCTGGCCTCGGATTGGCACAGCTCTGGCCATTGTGGCCATCTGGGGAGTGAACCAGTGGATGGAAGATCTCTCTGTCTATCTATGCCTCTGCCTCGCTGTAACTCTGCCTTTCAAATAAACAAATAAATACTTACAAAAACGTTTAAAAGAATTATGTGGCCTTCTCAAGATGACTTTTTAATTGGGTTATACCCATTTGGAGATGGTCTATACATAAATCTGTGTGTGTGTGTGTGTGTACTTATTTGTTCATTTAAGAGGTGGTGTAACAGAGAGAGGTAGAGATAGAGAGAAAGGTCTTCCATCATCTGGTTCACTTTTCAAATGGCTGCAATGGCTGGAGCTGAGCCAATTTGAAGCCAGGAGCCAGAAGCTTTATCCAGGTCTCCCATGTGGGTGCAGGGGTCCAAGCACTTGGGCATTCTTCTGCTACTTTCCCAGGCCATTAGCAGAGAGCTGGATCGAAAGAGGAGAAGCCAGAACTAGAACAGGCACCCATATGGGATGCTGACACTACAGGCAGAGGCTTAGCCCACTATACCATAGTGCTGGCCCATAGCGCTGGCATATATATATATATATATATATATATATATATATATATTTAGCAATAGATTTTTTTCTTCCTGAATTTTAAAAATTATTTATATTAATTATTTCCCTAAAATATTCCTGGAATTTTTAAGCTCTAGGTAAATTCTCTTTTGGCTTAATTGACACCACTAACCCCCCCAAAAAAATCATTAAATACACAATAAACTGATACAGTTTTGTTGCACTCACATTGCATTAGGTTTAGAATAATCAGTTATATGTCAAAGGTCAGAGTGTTAACTCAGCTCTGCATGTGCTTCTTGGAGTATCTACAGCCCAGTGACTCAAAGCATTTTCCTAGTCTTGAGAGGTCATTTTCCCAAAGCCCTTTTGTGGTGTTATGTAATGTAACTGTATTTTCTTGAAGCTCTGTTGATGATGACTTAGTATGAAGAATCAT